ACCGTTAATGAGAATTTGTGCTTTCTTTGAATAATAGCCTCTTAATAATCTTTGAACTGGTTGTTTATAAAGTATTTTCTCTTCTGTGGAGCGGGCCGAATGCCTCGGTAATAGAATAGATGCATATATGGTTCGTGTCGTTCGACCCTTGGCAGTGCACAGTTTATATATTTGTATGTTGGATCGGGTCGTACGACCTCGGCATAATTCGTGCGTAACAATTTTTGGAGCCCAATTGTAATTGATATTGTTTCATTGGCTTGAGAGATAAATTTGTTAAATGACGGAAATTAATTACACGCTGCACAGCTCTCCAAAAATACAATTTGAAGAGCATTCCTCGATCGAATATAATGTACACCGACACACCATAGAGATGAATAATCTCACGGATATAGATCTGAGCCAGAGGCTCTGAAGAATAGGTAGGCATAACCGGAATGAAGTGTGCAGACTTGGTCAGTCTATCCACAATAACCCATACTGCGTCAAATTTCATCAAAGTCTATGGGAGCCCAAAAACGAAATCCAAGGTAATACGATCCCACTTCCTCTCTGGAATCTCAAGTCTCTGAAGCAAATCGCCCGACCTCTGATGCTCGCACTTCACCTGCTGATAGCTCAAATGCCGAGCCACATACTCTACTATAACTTTCTCCATTCTTCTCCACTAATAGTGCTGACTCAAATCCTGATACATCTTGGTGACACCTGGATGAATGGAATACTGCGAAGTGCGAGCCTCCTCAAGGATAGACTCATGAAACCCATCTACATTGGGCACACATATTCGGCCCTACATCCATAACACCTCCTCATCTCTAATAGAAATCTCCTTGGCATCGCCGTTCTGCATTGTATCCTTAAGGGAAAGAAAATAGGGGTCTTCATATTGACGCGCTCTAATGTGCTCATACAGAGAATACCGAGAAACCACACAAGAAAGTGTCACGCCCCAAACTCAGGGTGCGCGACCGGCGCTCAACCGAGATAACCCGACCGAGAAAGCCTGTACATTACCTTCTACCCAAACTTATTCAAGAATAACAGTAAAATCTAATTCATTAATTAAGCGGTGAGAAGGATCAAGTAAACAACAACTAAAAGTCGCTATCAGTAGTTACATCATTTATAAGTTTCAAAATACATACACTTTCACCGTTTGATGTGGAACGTGTGATACAATTATAATATTACCAATTTGACTTTTCCCATACAAACATACCATCCACGCTATGTCTACGGAGCCTCTATTAGATACAAAAGAGTACAATGATAGTGCCTGCAACAAGGCTCCGTCTATACCTCAAAACATGGTGATAAAATGAACAAAAGATACATGACCCCGAGTGAAGTGGAGCTCACCAAATCAGCTGGGAAAAGAGTGTAGTGCTATCGCTGATCAGTGTCACCTGCTGTGGAACCACTAGCATCCATTAAAGATGCAGCGCCCCCGGCAAAAGGGACATTAGTACTGTTGAATAGTACTAGTATATATGACTAAACACTCTCTCAAAGAAACGAGCAATAATGCAAGTAAGGACAATTATAATATCAGTTAAAGCCTCAAACAATTACCAAATATCAAATTAGAGATAAGATAAGTTTAAAATAAATTTCCAAATTTTAAGTTAGGAAATCTTTGGTACCGGTATACCACTATTCACAATTTCGATTATGATTTCCAACAGAGTTACCACCATGTGTGCGGCATGGCATCCGATCACGACCAGATCAGCTAGGACGTCTCATGCGAGACATCAACCAAATCACAATTTCAATTACCATTCAAACACAATCACCACCATGTGTGCGGCATGGCGTCTGATCACGACCCGATCGGCTAGGCCGTCTTATGCAATACATCAACCAAATCACAATTGCAATTACAATTCTAACACAGTCACCACCATGTGTGCGGCATGGCTTCCCATCCCGATCCGATCGGGTAGGCCGTCTCATGTGAGACATCACCTTTTTCTATCAATTACCCCGTTTCATATTTTTGCACATCTCTTAATTTCATTGGCACTAATGGTCACAATTGTATTATTTCTCTTGGCACATTTATCGTGTATCATATTTAACATTTCATATTTCACATTTCGCAATACGTGATTCGTATTTCATGTTTCGTATTTCATGTACACCTTTTTACTTTCAACCATCATCATGGACTTTCCAATAACAAGGCATTTCTATTCACGACATTTAAGCACACATTTGAGCAAATAGGAGTTTTAGGCACATTACGATTTCTTACACAAGCTTTCATTAGCTTTCCTTTGAAATAACACTTGAGGTGAAGGTATTTAGATATGCAAGCCCTACTTTGAACACATTCTCAAATAGTAGTACAACATAACAATAGCATTTGAATTACATATTGATCACGGATGTCTTTTAGAAATATCCAAATGACAAATGGTTTGATGCGTTGGAAAGTAGACTCAAAGGGTTTTAATTTGGTAGGTATAGCACCACCTAAGTTATTATATTTTCGGAGTGGCATTCGTTTGAAGTCGGGTCTTGTGCTAATTAAGACGTCCTTTCCACTTAATGTATCCAACTTGTTCCACACAAATTCTTGCAATTCATAAAACTCCTTAGTATGATCTAACACACCTTGAACATATACTTTCATTTCAAAATGATGTAGTTCTATCCCATAGGTCTCCTTTAATACTCGAATACGCTATCCTCAAATACCGCTGGCACACATTAAAATCTTAAATCATTAGGAAATTGTAACGGGGCCTTACAATCACCCCGTAATTCCAATTACATTAAGAGAAAATCTAAGTAACATTAGACCTGTAACTTGCGACAACTTTTGTCCATTTTTATTTCCTAACTCATTTGACTTCGAAATTAACACACGACTGTAATATGACTAAAATACCGCATAATACCACCTCCTTATCATATTAATCACCCCAAAAGTATGGATTATAAGATTCTCAACTTGCCGTTTCGACAAAAATTATTTTCTTCGATTTGTTTAGCATCTTGGTTCTTGAAGTTCATGATATTAAATATTTGTAACCTCTAAAGTAACATGATTAACTAACTTTATGTACATTCAACGATGATCTACTTTCCGAGCATACATCACCTGACCTACGATGTACTTTTACACAGGAAAACATGGGATGTAACGTCATTCCCCCTTTTGGAACATTCATCCTCAAATGTTGACTGATGTGGTTATCAGTCTCATAACCTATAAATCTTAAGAATATTGTTATACTGTCCTTTCAATCTAGGCAACTATTCTACGAATAAATCCAAAGGCCAAGACATTCCCCCCTTCAGGCCTCTTTCTCACACCACGACCCATGTTAAGAATTCTTCCAATATCATAACTGTTGCTACCTTCTGTCAAGCAGCCTGTACGACTATGTCCTTATACGCACACCTATGCGACTTTTTTCTCCTTTTTCTTCCAGCTTTTATCCAATCATTCTAAGCGACACTTTGTGAACATATCATAACTATGACAAACTATCCCTCTGAGCATTTTATAGGTGTACTGAAGTTCTTTGCTTGGCACTTTGTCAAACTTACGGTTATTGCTATATTTTGTTTCATATCCTCGATTATCTTATGGTATTTCTGCATCTTGGCAAGTTATATTATATCATAACACTTACTTCAGTTAATTATTACCGAGGTCTATTACCCAACCCCTGGTTACTCTTTCCCTGTTTATCCTGTATGTATAAATCTAAGTCCTTTAATGATTCCCTATTTTGTTCATGTTAAGAATGACAGCCTATTCTCATCCTAATTCACTCAAAATACTAATTTAACATACTTTATATACCTTACTATCATGGTCATGTGTATTATAGCTTTGACCGTATTTTATCCCAAAATGTCAAACATGTTTGCCAAAATACCAACGCTTCTAGTTCAATTTCAAAAATCAAACACCACCCACACTATGTCTATGGAGCCTCTAAGTACAACAGAAGAGTAGAATGGAAATGCCAGCGATAAGGCCCTGGCTAGACCTCAAAGCACAAAATACAACGTCAAATGACATAAAGCCTAGAACAAAGTTTGGCTCACCAAAACCTGCTGAGTATAGAGTAACTGCTAACGAGGATCCAGAGAGCCCGTTGATGAACTACATACATCCATTGAAGATGAAGCGCCCCCGACAAAAGGGACGTTAGTACATACGGAATAGTACTAGTATGTAAAGCTAAATGTCCTCTTACGAAATAGAACGCCAATGAAAGAAGGGAAAACATCATTGAAGCAACAAGTAACAATCAATGGTATCCAAATGCCAAGTTAAAACATAACAATTTTCAAAAAATGAAAATAATATATAATTTTGGTTGGGAGATCATTAGCACCGATATAGCACTGTGTTTTTATCACGGAGTCTGATCATGCCCGATCGACTAGTCCATCTCCCCACGGACAATGTGGTTTGACATGTGATGCAAAACAAAATGTGTTACCAAGAGTAGTACCACCATGTGCGCAGCATGGCATCCGATCTCCACCCGATCGGCTAGGCCGACTTCCCACATCTGCCATGTGGGTTGACTTTCCAATTCACAAGTAATATCAATCTCATCCCAAATAAGGGGAATAATCAGAAACCACCACAATCCACCCCAACACCGGCACATGTAGTTTCGGGCATGGGCCATATGAACCGCCCTTCCTTAGTTTGCTAATGATACTCCCAAAAATATTTGCTTTTGTTTTTGCACACAAGGTAACATAAATACAAATGTAGTCACCTCATCATCTTTCACATCGTATAAAACTTAATTAGTATTTTCTACCAGTCATAACAACAATATTTCCTTGGTTCGTTTGGCCATTCACAAGTTTCTTTATTCATGGCACGACGGTTGTATTTCATGCTCCACACTTCCATTTCTTTACTCTCATGCATCATCATCATTAATATCAACATATATAATATTTTTGAAATCACAACTTTAAGTTCATTAGAAATGAAGACTTTAAACACAATGTGGATCTTGGAACATTGGGACGTTGGATCTTGGAACATTGGGACATTGACGGGGAAGTCTATAGACTTAGTTAAGATTCTTCAGAAGAGGAAGATCAATATAGCGTGTGTTCAGGAGACTACATGGAAGGGTACTAGGGCACGAGATGTAGACGGGTTTAAAATATGGTACTCAGGAAGCGCTGGGGGAAAAAATGGGGTAGGTATTTTAGTTGACAGGGACCTCAGAGAGCTCGTGGTCGAGGTTAGTAGGGTAAATGATAGGTTAATGAGTATTAAGCTTGTAGTTGGTGGGTTTACGGCAAACGTGATTAGTGCATATGCTCCTCAGGTATGTTTGGACTAGGAGGTCAAGAAGCGATTCTGGGAGGATTTGGACGAGATGGTGCATAGTATCCCGCACATAGAGAAGCTGTTCATTGGTGGAGATTTCAATGGCCATATTGGGGCTAGTGCTAGGGGTTATGATGATGTGCACGGCAGGTTCGATTTTAGGGATAGAAATGAGGGAGGTAATTCACTGTTGGATTTTGTTAGAGCCTTTTATTTGGTTATAGCTAACTCGAATTTTCCGAAGAGGGAAGAGCACCTAGTCACTTTCCGGAATTCAATAGGAAAGACTCAGATTGATTATCTTCTCGGCAGGAAATGCGATAAAGGTCTGTGCACTGATTGCAAGGTCATCCCAAGTGAGTACTTCACGACCCTACATAGGCTCCTAGTTATGGATCTGGAGATGAAGAGGAGTAGGAAGAAGAGGACGGTGTACAGGCAACCTAAGATCAAGTGGGGTAACTTGACCAAGAACAAAGCTCAGGAGTTAGGGGAGAAGTTGTTGGCTATGTGGGCCTAGATGTGTAGGGGGGACGTGTCTAGTATGTGGTTCACGACTGCGAATTGCATTAGGGTTGCTGCTAGAGAGGTCTTAGGGGTCACGAAGGGCTCTCGGCAAAGGCAGGGACAAGAAGTTGTACCGGTTGGCCAAGGTGACGGAGAGAAAGGCGCATGACTTAGACAAGTCAAGTGAATCAAGGATGAGGATGGCAAAGTATTGATGGACGAGGCACTTATTAGGAGAAAATGGCAGACATAGTTCCATAAACTGTTGAATGAGAAGGTGGATAGACACATTGTACTGGGTGAGTTGGAGCACTCTGAGAGCTTGCGGGATTTTGGGTACTGTAGGCGGATTACGATAGAGGAGGTGGAAGGGGCGATGCGTAAGATGTGCAGGGGTAGAGCGACGACGCCAGACGAAATCCCGGTGGAATTCCGGTAGAGCGCGGGGCGAGCAAGTTTAGAGTTGCTCACTGGGCTGTTTAATGTTATTTTTAAGACGAAGAAGATGCCCAAAAAATGGAGGTGGAGCACGATGGTTCCGCTTTACAAGAACAAGGGTGATATCCAAAATTATAACAATTATAGGGGTATCAAGTTGTTGAGTCACACTATAAAGGTTTGGGAGAGGGTGGTGGAGGCCAGGGTGAGGAGGTGTGTGTCTATTTCTGAGAATGAGTTTGGATTCATGTCGTGGCGTTCGACTACATAAGCGATTCATCTGGTTGGGAGATTAGTGGAGCAGTAAAGGGAGAGGAAGAAGGACTTGCATATGGTGTTTATTGACCTTGAGAAAGCGTACGATAAAGTCCCGAAGGAGGTCCTGTGGAGGTGTTTGTAAGGAAATCCTATGAATGGTCTATGAAACGCATAGGTGTGTTGTGTATGAAATCCTATGAACGGTCTGTGAAATGCATAGGTGTATTGTGTATGGAATCCCATGAACGGTCTATGTATAATATGATATGTGAACACTAAGGACGGTCTATGTAATGCATAGGGGTAAGATCAAAGAGGGATATGGATGGTCTAGTAAGACGCATTGTTAACGCATACATTATGTGCCATTTTCATTGTCCTTGTTTGCAAATGTTGTTTCAATTACTTTATATTATGTATTCCACGCATAGTTTATATGGCTCAGTTAATCCATGTGCATTTCATAGACCGTTCACAGGATTCACATATACCATACAATACACATGTGCGTTTCATAGACCATTCACAGTGTTCATTCATATTATATTATACACCTATGTATTTCATAGCCCGTCCATAGGGTTCACATATTATACATATATGTGTTTCATAGCCCGTCCATTGGGTTCATAACACATCATTAGGCACATAACCATTTATAAACTCAAAGCGACATGATTAACATTATATTAAGGTCGTAAGTTCCCAGATCATTGGAACACTTCATGTTCATGCTCAGCATGGAGAAACATAGCTCATTACATTAGCACGTGCTTAGTGAATCAATAAGTCAATTTCAATGGCACATAAGCCCAATTTCTTTTCTTAAGGTTCATCATCATTTAGCATAGGACATCTGCCTTTCATCTTGTTATACATTCACTTAACATCTTGAGGATATTAGCTAAGTTCATGATTCTTGATGACTTGACATCGAAGTCATTTACATACATTATTTCAGAAGCATACAACTATAGTTGAAACAATTGGGACATACAACACATCATAAATTTCATTCAGGCAAATGACCACATTTCATGTTCATACTATCACTTCATTAGTATTTTCAACTATCTACAACATCATTATTTCTTTGGATCCCTTTTTCCATACATATTATTCTTCATTCATGGCATGATGGTCGAATCTCATATTCCATACTTTAATTTCATTACTTTCAAGGCTCATCATTATAAACATCAATATAGAGAATATTCTTGAAGTACCTTTCCCCAAAAGGGCAATACACAATTTCAACTCATAAAAATGTAAAGGCTTAAAACACATTGGAAATACCTACCAAGCATAGAATTAGTAACAACAACATTTGGAAATGACTTGAATACCTGAGCTTTTGGATAATACTATTTTCGGAGTCAATTTGGAATAGTTGAATCAAGGCTGATTTCATAATATTTCACACATCATTTCATTTTGTTGGCGCTATTGGCCACAAGTATAACTTTCATTCTTGGCACGGTGTTCACACTTTATATCCCCAACTCATTATTTCATACTTTATATCCTCAACTCGGGTGAGGACTGTGGGTGGAGACTCGGAACATTTCCCTGTGGTGATGGGGTTGCACCAAGGATCGGCTCTTAGCCCATTTTTATTTGCCTTAGCGATGGATGTACTGTTGCGACACATCCAAGAGGAGGTGCCTTGGTGCATGCTATTTGCCGATGATATAGTTTTGATTGAGGAGATGTGAAGCGGAGTTAAGTAGAACCAAAACAGAATACTTGGAGTGAAAATTCTGTGACGGGACCCATGAAGCAGACGTAGAGGTAAAGCTTGATACTCAAGTTATCCCCAAGAGAGCGAGTTTTAAGTATCTCGGGTCTATTATCCAAGGTAACGGGGAGATTGACGAAGATGTTGCACATCGCATCGGAGCGAGATAGATGAAGTGGAGGCTCGCTTCTGGTGTTTTATGTGATAAGAACGTGCCGCTAAGACTTAAGGGCAAGTTTTATAGAGTGGTGGTTCGACTGGTTATGCTATATGGAGCTGAGTGTTGGCCAGACAAGAACACCCACGTCCAGAAGATGAAAGTAGCAGAGATGAGAATGTTGAGATGGATGTGTGGACGTACCATGAGAGATAAGATTAAGAATGAAGTTATCCGAGATAGAGTGGGAGTAGCCTCCGTGGAGGACAAGATGCGAGAGTCGAGGCTTAGATGATTCAGACATGTTAAGAGAAGAAGCATTGATGCCCCTGTTAGGAGGTGTGAGAGATTCTCCATAGCGAGTTTGAGAAGAGGTCGAGGTAGGCCTAAGAAGTACTGGGGAGAGGTGATTAGACAGGACATGGCGCTGCTTCAGCTTACTGAGGACATGACCCTTGATAGTAGGGTGTGGAGGTCGAGGATTAAGGTAGAAGGTTAGTGGGTAGTTTTTAGTTGCTAACCAATAGTCTTAGTAGCACGCTTGTCCCTTCATATTCTTAGATTTTTATTACGTTATGTAGTTTTGTTCGCCTCAGGTATTGTATCTCTTGTTGCTAGTATTTGGTACTACTTATCCTTTATATCTTCCTTTTTCTTTTCTCTTCTCCCTTTCTTCCTTTCTTGCTATCCACTTCTTCTTATTACCCTTCCTGATCCGAGGGTCTATTGAAAACAGCCTCTCTACCTTTTAGGTAGGGGTAAGGTCTGCATACAGACTACCCTCCCCAGACCCCACCTGGTGGGAACATACTGGGTTTGTTGTTGTTGTTGTAGATTTATTTCCAAGAAATAGAGTAAAATGATTGGCAATAGAAGCGCAAGTTAAAATCATAGAGGAGTAACACACCATTTATTCTTGAAATACTTTTCCCAAAAAGGGAAATACACAATTACAACTCACTTATATCACTTTCAAGCATCTTTATAGATTATCAAGTATATGAGTATTCGAAATCAAGGTTTTAAGGATATATATGAGCAATAGGAGTTTTGGACGCATAGAGTATTCTTTCATAGTTAAGCATAATGGACTTTCATTTGAAACACGACTAAGAGTCATAACATATTAATACACATA